ATAAAGCTATAAGATAAGTAACTTGTGCACACAAGATAAAAAAAATTACTTTTTGGGAATTTAGGGGCTCCGTAAAATATAGTAAATTAGTTACTGTTGTAAAAGTAAACTCCAATAATGTGATAAAATATAATGAAACAATATTATCTGATAAAGTCCTTCATAGGCCCAGTGTGTAGGATTTAGTGGTGAAGTTGCACACTGCAATCACTCCTTTAGATAAATATAGCTCATTATAAGGTAACAAATATGCAATGATTTTTATATTCAAAGAATTATACACTAAAGAAAACATATCTATGAATATTATATTCCATTTCTGCCAATAGATCTTCCTAAATGTTCCACACTGGACCTTTAAGTTACTGTCAGATTCTTCTGGTCAAATCTAATGGACTGGCTTCTTCTCCATGGCAATGGTGGCCTTAGTATTATAGGTAGTGTAGTATTTAGAGCCAAACTGGTTAGCATGACATAACCCTTTATGGCTATTACGTTATCTGATAGATACCTGTGTTTCTATGTTAAAGAACATTGATTACATGATTAAACGACACATTTAAAATGGCAATGAGTGGGGAAAATACTTCCAGAATAAGTGGATCCTCTTAGTTCACCACTCTACTGACTGGAAATCATGGTAGACATTGTTTCTAGTACTACCTGCAGGTTTACATTTTGGGTCAGAGTAAAATGTTTCAACAACTATTGGATGGGTAGCCATAACACATCGCTTTTCATCTAATATCATCAACAGGTCAAATTAAATTTTGTCCATTACTTTCCTATCAGCCTTAGCAGTACTTGTTCTTATTGCTAATTACCACATTAGCATGTCAACATGCAAAACTAACATGGTGAACTGTATTGATAAATATTATACCTGCAAAACATCACCCTGTTAGCATTGCATAGCCTCACTGAGCTACTGTGGTAAAAAAAAATAATCAATTATTATCAATAATTGTGATATGATTCATGATTAGTGATAATGATACATTTTGTTTGGTTTGTCCGTTCAGAGCTACTGAGGAAACATGACTTTTCAACATCGCAGACTCCATAGACTGTCTATAGATATAAACAGCTCATTCTAAGGTAATAAAAAGATAATGATTCCTATATTGAGGTGATTATACACTAAAAACAAAACTGAAAACAGAGTTGTACATATTATATTCTGTTTTTACTAATAGATCATCCTGAATGTTACACACTGAACCTTTAATAGAAGTGAATGAGTAATCCAAGGGCAGTTAACCTGTACTGTATTAGCCTCTAGGACAAATACATGGTTTCACATTTTGCCAAAGTTCCTAAAGCCAAGAACCACTTGAGTGATTAGATGTTTTAGACACATGACAATAGATAACATGTTGATGTTCACATGTAAATGGGCCTGTGTCTTCTGTTTTAAATAAACTATAGAAATGCAAATGAATTGTCCTCCTCTTTCATAGAACCTGAGTTGACCCAAAAAGGCTGCTGATGAGGGTGTTTGAAGAATTTATTTTTATTTCATGCAATCCAAAGATTAAAGGTCCCATATTGTAGAGAATTAGATTTCCATGTCTTGTGTGATTATAAAGCAGGTAGGTGCTGTATAAATACTGTGAAAGTATCAAAAAGCTCATTCCACAGAGAAATGCACACAGCCAGTATTCAGAAACTGTGCCTTTAAACCAACTGTCCCGGACCCTGACCCACCATCCAAGGTTTTTTTTTTTTTTGTTGTTGTTTTAGCTTTTTTCTTTTAACACCAGGGGGTCATTCTGTCACTAGCTAGCAAGCTACAGGACAGTAAAATGTAGAGAAAACGCTATACAATCATTGGATGTCAGGATGCCATTCTGGGAAAAACATTTGGCTGCCTGGACTGGCAGAAAAGCGCGCTGGTGGTCCAAAGCTCCTGTATTAAAAGAAAGTGTTAACACCAACACTGTGGTTGTCCGAGCTCCCAGTCCAGGCAGTGTCAGCTAATTCGACAGGTTACCTGACTGAGCTAACTGAACTAATGGTAGCTACACTTAGCAGCTATAAGAGCCCAAATGAGAGAATGTCAACATGACTTGAGAGGAATTTGAATGTTCAAGAGGCAATTAGAGGGGACTAATGCTAAAAGTCATTGCATTTCAATTAAAGAAGTCACTTTGTGGAACAACTGTAATGAGGAAATTTACAACATTAAACAAATGTCTAAAAATAATACATTGAATGGATATGGGATGGAAGATCAGGGATGGGAGCAGGCACTGTACTACTGGACAGGATTTGTAGATTAATTTTGTATTTTGTGTTTGTTTTATTCAGATTATCTGCTCTTGCTGTGTTTTGAATGTTTTACTTTTGTTTGATTTAACTGAGCTGTGCACTGGTGAAAGTTTGGAAGACTGGGATTCTGGTGAGACGCCATGGTGACACTATGCATGCAACGAGGAGTCTAATACTAATAATAGGATGCTAATACAGCTAGCACAAGCAACAACACGCAATACACAGATATTAAACAGTTTCCAGCCACAACTTATCTACAACTTGGCAAAGGTTTAAGGTAATCTCGGCAGAAAGTCTTTTTTGTCTGTCTATATAAAAAGGAATAAACACAAAAACATGTAATTCTGAAATTCCATTTTTTTCCCATTAAGAAAATAAATTACTTGGGATTCCCTGGTATTATATAAAGTATATGTATTTGAAGGTAAGGAATGTCACTTTTATAGAATTGGCTAATTTCAATTTAGAATAGAAAATAAATGTCTTCATTAAACAAGTGTTAAGAACTCTATCAGATCGCAATGTATTGCATGGAATGGGATTAAAATGCATCGCCCCTGAATCGTATCGTAGGCCATCTATCTAGATACGTATCAGATCATCTTAGAAAGGAGAGATTTATACCCCTAGTAAATAACCATCAGAAGGACTTTTAAATGTGAGAAACAACAAATATTATATTAACAGATATATTCAGAGACCCAGGCTGACAAATGTTGTATAAAATGTCTTGATTGGTACAAAACACCAGTATTTTCTTTTAACCTTTGATTCTCTATCCAGAGAAACTGAACCTCTCTTCTAGTAATATTCAGCTTCATTCATGCTCACTTCAGAGCTGCCCTATAAGACCAGTTTACTATTGGAGCAGTGCAGGGCTAAGTGCCTTGCTTAAGGCCATGTCAAGAGTGTTACTCACTCTTTTTCCCACACACCTTTTCCCTAACTGTGTACACCAACTCATAACCGCCTGCTCACACATACCGCTTCACCACTTCCTAGACAACAGAGCATGTCATTATTTGCACATGCCTCATCAAGCATATTTTTATTTGGCCATATTGTTTTTTTAAAAAGTCTACCTTAACTTTATTTTGCAGAATTGAATTCAAAAATAAGACTTATTAGTGAGTCCATTTTTGAAGAAGACACAATGTCAGACTTCCTTTAAAAGTAACCACCAGGCAGCTTGTTATTCACCTTATCATGACTCTTCTTCTCCACAACAGTTCAACAGCACGTCACAGGCCTCGGGGGCGGGCTGTTATCCCGGCTAAGAGCAGCCAGGCCAAACACAAGTTCCCTAACATGTTCCGAAGTAAAGAGAGAGCAAACAAAATAACAGGGCGGAAACAGCATTCCAAGAGTGCTAAGAATAGCAAACTGGACCCTGTGCTCCCGGCACTAAGTTCACAACTAATCTTAGGCAAGAAGCAGAGTGAGTCTGCGCACGTAGCCAAAACTTTGCCAGGACAATGTGTGTGCTAGGTGACTTAAAGATACAAATAACAGCTATAACCTGGTTTGAATGACACCTCTAAAATATACTTAACAAGTGTACCAATTGAAGGATTTCAGGGATTTAATGTTATTTTATTGTAATTTACAACACAAGGTTGCAGAATGAAATTCAGATACAGTTCCCTTCAGGTTAGAAAAATTAAGTTTATGAGTCATGAAAAATAAAAATATTAACTTGTATGATGAATTGTTGAGTAAGAATTATGAAATGAAAACTGAAAACTGAAAAATGAAACTATGAACCATTTCAATGAATGCAATAATTGCTTACAACATACAGTAATCCACACATAAAAAGGGTCTTCTGGCAGTTACTGGGTTGCCATTTTGAAAAATTTGACAGCTGCTAGAGGTGAAAGATAAACTAGATGAAAGAAGAAAAGATCTTTTATATACTGTCTTCATTGATTTATCTTTCACACAGGGAAGGACGTTCATCACGGAAAGTGACTGTAAAGAGCGCCTCTGGCTTCAGTTGCTGCAGACGTGTCTGTACTGAGTATCATTGACTTGCTATCTGGAAAACTGCATCCCCCTGCGCTTTGATAAAAAAAATGGCCAAAGCGGACGCAACGGTTCTCAGATAAATTGTACCCGGTTCTCCATGCAGTGTCATATGATCTAAACAGCTTTTATCCCACATTTCTAGAGGTTTGACATCTTAAGTGTATACTACAGCATACAAGTGTGCTCTTCTACAGTTGAGATAACAATCTCAGCACAAGGTCTATTGTTCTGGAGCTTTCAATCACATCACACGATCTCCATTAGCAGACAGAGTTTGCCCAGTTGTCAGCAGTTTTCAACAGCAGTTGAAAAAACTCATACAGTTTTGTATACTTTAGATGAATATCCCCAGCACACACACTGCAGCAGTATAAGTCAACAGCAATGTCTAATAACCACCCACACAGCTACAACAGTGATGTTGGAACAAACCTGGATTACCTTCAATGACACTTTTTCACTTCAATATCTGTGCATGGCAGCTACAGGTTGGTTAAGGTATGGCTGATCTCTCCATGTAGTGTTCTTTTTGTTAGTGTCAGAATCTGCCTTGGCTGAATTCATAGTACATCATCCAGCTAGAGCTTGAGCTTGAGCTTGATCAGGCCCAAAAAATTCAGCCCGACTGCATGCAAGACTGAAGAAATTCTGTGTGAGCTCAAACCAAGCATGAACCACAGAAGCAGTTTTGTATTTCCACTTAAAATAGATAAATGAATTACAGGCTAAAGTAAATTACATGGTGTATATAATATAGCACAAATCATTATCGAAAATAATTTACTTATTAATTACAGTGGCATGCATTAAATATTGATTAATACTGATTCATATCTGCTAGCTAGCTACCTAGCTGTCCACAGTCTGGACCAAATCTGACCAACTCAGCTGTGAACAGCACAAGAAGACCACTGTAGTAACTGGTAACGTTACTTACACCCTATCAGACCATATACACGACCTGGCACCCCTGTGGTCAAATATTTGCAGCACATACCAACAGACTGTCCTGCACTGGTGTTACTGACACACATATTCTATCAGAAACCAGCATTAACTGTTATCAGCAAGTTTAAGACTACAGTGCTCATCGTTGTGCCGAATCGACGACACGGTCAGGCCTTCACTTCCCACGTTCATCAAGAGCCTTAAGCGCCCCCATGTCCCTAGCTCCGGATTTCATTTTCCTTCCATTGGAACACTTGTGAAGATATCTGACACTGCAGACCGGAACAGGCCCATCAAGAGGCTGGAGGTTTTGGAATGTTCTGACCCAGTCCTCCTAGCCATCACAATGTGGCCCCTTGTTAAAGTATGCGTCAAATCTCAACCATTGGCCCGATTTTATTTCCTGCTTTCTAACACATCAACTCTTGAGACAAATTGTCACGAGGACAAAATGTTCACTTGCTGCTGCCTAATATATCACACCCACTGACAGGAGCCATGATAACCAGGTAATCAGTGTTATACACTGTCAGTGCTCATAATGTTATGGCTGATCGGTGTAAACAGGGACTTCATTTTCTGTGGCAGCACAAACAACACACAGCCTTTCAGTAACTATTATACGCTACTAGGCCTTACTCTCACACACCGGCAAAGAATCTCTACGACAAACCGGCATAGGATACCCACAAGACCACCTTCCTTAAAGGGGAAGGCATGGCTGGTAACACACAGGTGCAGTTAGGCTGTGAGTGGATTAAGGATCAGATCCTTTACTTAAGTAAAAGCAATAATATCCAACTCCACTAATACTCCACTACCTGTACAGGGGTCCCCCCCCGATGCTGGAAAAAAAAATCCTTTTAAGAGACTACTGCTACCCAGGTCTACATAGGCAATCTGAGTAAGAGGCTAAAATACAATTAAACATTTCCAGGATACTGCAGATTATTTCCAAGATAGTTTTGGGTAATTTTAATCAATTTCCAGGTGTTCGGATGAGGAGCCAAATCAGAACGGCTTGTTGAATCCCATGTCTTCTGACACACACAGCCCTTAAAAGAAGGACTGGGTTGATTTATTTCACAGTTTCTGGGTTGGTAGGCACTCCAGATACCCAAATGCACAGGTGTTACCAATGACACTAATTAAGGCTCAGTTCCATTCAGGTCAAACAGACTCAGGCTGCTGCTATTGTGCATGTTGGCTCACTGGAAAGGCTCTGATACACTAAGAGAGAAATGCTGTGCTGCTGCCTGAAAAGCTGCTGCCTGAGATTACTCTGAGCAGCATGCATGGGAATAAATTACTATATAATATATAGAAATAATATCACTTTCCCCCTGATGGTCTGAATAACTCGCCACATATGTCGCTAGTCGCTTTCCAGAAATAAAGTCGCTAAGTTGGCAACACTGTGTGAGAGTGAGGGGGCGGGGTTAGGAAAGCTGATGCCTATATTTGCTTTTAACATATTCAGGTCATAGATTTTTTCACTTTAAGATAAAATAAGATAATAATAAAAATATTATATTAAGACGAATAAAACAGAAATTGTAGATACATCTTACCATGTTGTTTTCACCAGCTAACCTTAACCATTAGCTTATCTTTTCATTTAAATTGATGAAAATGTCAGCAATGCAATTATCATATCATCTAAATTGTGGTGAATGAACATAATTTGTGCGTACTAAGACTCCATTCGACACAGATCGACACAGGGACGAGTGTTAAACCTGCAGAGTGGTTAAGTCAGTCAGTCTTCTCAACCTTTCCATTATGTTAATGTTTTTATTGCTGATGGGAATATAAAGTTTATGTTGTTGACATTTAAACATGTAACCAAGTTACTGATTTATCTTGAAAAGAACAGGACACAATAGAAAGAGAGAGAATGCAGAGGTAGGCAGCTGAAGACTTAAACGGTATTCACTTTCTATGTAATTTTGTGCTATGATTTCACAGTAACATTATGAAACTACAACTGCAGACTAGAGTCATTCACGAGACCTGCGTCAAACATTGTGTGTGTCTCCTATATGACAATAACGTCATCTATTCATTTAAGTGGCCATTTCTTATTATATGAGTCTCTGTTGGAAACAAGTATTTCAACAGAGGAGACCATGCAGCAGTGACTCATAGGGCATTAACACAACTCAGTATGAACAGACAGTCTTGATGGCTGTGTACAAACAGGCACATTGTGCCACTATTACTCATTACACTGTAAAAAATGTCAATTTGAGCAAGCCATGCTGTATTTACACAGAAACTGAAACAAATTCTACTTCCTGTTTTCCCCTTTGTGTGTTTTGAGGTAAATTCTCTTCAAATTCTGAATCGACAAAAGAGTGATGGCAGTTAGGATACAGTGCCAATAGTACAAACACGTCTTTTCAACTTATTAAAGTGTTAGCAACTTAACTAAGCAAATGAGCTAGCGAGTTTAGTTCAGAGAGCTATATTTTCCATCTCAAATAACTTTCTACTGAATAAAATGGTGTACAATGGTAATTAAAAGACCTGGGGAGAGTCAACAGTAGAAGAATAGAGAAAAATAGGGAGAAAGCTATTGTGACTGACTAGCACTAGCCAGCCGTTAACAAACTTTCTGATGTAACCAGACCTTAATACAGATTTTATAAACCAGAATGAAAAACATAAAGCTGCACAGTCACATTTTTCAATTCCAGTCTGGTCTCCAAGAATGTGTAGTGCAAAATGATCCAGAGGCATGTAATTTGTATTTCAAGGCCACATGTGAAATTTGTCCGCAATGTCATGAAAATAAGTATATCATCATTTGTTTCAACGCAGTTTGGCTCAGCCAGCTTTAGCACGGAGGAGTACCAGATCCAATGATGGAAAGAAAGAGAAACAGTTTTATGATTGGTATGTGAGCTAATACTTTAAATCAGACAATACTTGTGGCTACTTTTAACCAAAGACTTTTTTAAACATGCTGGAGAAGCTTAGTCTAGGTACAAAAACAAATGTGACATCTTTTATTTTTACTCTGAAGCTGACAGCAAGGTCGAACAGACCTTGCTGTCAGCTCATATTGGTATCAGATATGGGTTGTGTCCTAGAATAGATTTGAATAGTCATCCAAAAGAATCAGACAGAAGCATTAAAGGCCCGCAGTGTCAACAGAGCCACAGGCAGTTATCAGTGTTAAAACTGTATTTTTCTGAAAACAAGTGGAACTACAAGTGCCAGTAGGGATGTGATCTCACCAACTCCTTATACCAAAGCAACAAAACAGATCATTTTTCAAAATGACCTATGTGACTGTGCCAGGAACAACTCTGACCTGCTAGATCTACTCCTGTATGTGGTTATGTTTAGGCTTG